GGCCCCACTGCCCAGTGTCCTGTGGCACACCGGAGACAACCGCCGTGCTCGCTGCAGTCCTCCCGGCGCGCAGGGCAGGTCCCGCACACCGTTCCCCCAGCCGTTTTCACTGTTTCTGCCTATTCTTTGAAGGTTTTTTGCAGGACCCCCGAGCCAGTGCTGCTGTCTCGGGCACTGCTGGCCTCGCAGCCAGCCGGTGGTCTCATTGCTGCAGTCCCTCTGCCGCACCGGCTCCGTGTGGGCCCTTCCCTCGTTTCCCACTGCAGCCCGGAGCTCCCTGTTGTGTGTGGTGGGGGTTGATTAAAGAGCTGGGGCTGAACCAAGGCTCCCTCAGCATCCCCCAATTAATAAATTAACCTTTTCCAGAGGAAGGCAGGTGGGGATTTCTCTGCCCCACACTGTGAGCGTGGCTCGGTGCCACGGCCCTATGGCCACGCCTGAGTGTGGGGGAAAACAACATCTCTTTGATTAAGGTTTAAAAAAAGAAAATAGCTCAGTGGTTAAATTCTTCTAATTAAATAAAATCATTTTGATCCATAATTAAAATGTCAGCACCTGGGAGAAGTTCCGAGTCCCTCTGGGTGGGAGGTGCTGGAGTGCTTTAATTGAGCTTTAATTACCTGCAGGGGTTGCGCTCGTCTGCCTGAGCAGGCACCTCATGTTTGCGTTCTTTTTTTATAAAGAAAACAGAAAAACTTTGTGTTTGGGCTCTGCTTAATGCTTCTCAGGCCAAGCACAGGGACACCCCTTCGCCCCCAGGGCAGGTGCTGCGTCGTTGGGACCACCCTGCCTTCTGCCAGAGAGCGCAGGCAGCTGCCTGCAGCTGCTCTTCCCTGCCTGCCCCAGCCTGGGGATGGGATGGGGGCAGAAAAACTCCTCTGGCAGCTGCCAGCCGGGATTAGCTGCCATTAGGAAGCGGTGCGAGCGCTGGAGGGGCTGGCAGCTGAGTGGGAAGGGCTGGTTTGCCGCCGGGGAGCTGTGCCGGGCTGTTGTGGAGCTGTTGGGGTGCTCACCTGCCTCCCCCCTCCCTCTCTCTTCCCTCCCCAGCTCCAGAGCATAGCCGAGAAGGACAACAACCTGGTGCCCATAGGAAAGCCGGCGTCCGAGGTGAGTGCAGTGCTGCGGGTGGGTCAGGGATGCATGAGGACGGGGGGGAAGCCGCAGGGGTTGGGCACGGGGTGGGGGGGCTGGCGGGGGCACTGGAGCTGTCATATCCGCAGCATTACGACGAGGAGGAGGAGGAGGATGATGAGGACGACGAAGACAGCGAAGAGGACTCGGAGGACGACGAGGACATGCAGGATATGGACGAGATGAATGATTATAACGAGTCTCCTGATGATGGGGAGATCAATGAGGTAAATAACGGGGCTGGGGGTGCCAGCCCATGTCCCTGCCCCACTGGGACCCTGAAGTGGGGGGGTTGAGAGTGAACCCCGGGGGGTTGTCTCCTCCCTCTGGCCCCAGCGGGTCCCTCTCCAGGTCTCCCTGCCTTTGGGAGGAGAGGGAAGGGCTGGCTGTTGGGAACAACCTGGCCCCTGCTCTGGTGGTGGTGCAGGGGTGTCTTAAACCTTCCCCCTTCCCAGGTGGACATGGAGGGGGCAGAGCAGGATCAGGACCAGTGGATGATCTGATTCCACCGTGGCCACAGCAAACCAGAGCCTGAGGAACTGGGAGGAGACTGGGGAAGAGCCCTTGCCCACCACTGCTCTGGGGCCCTGGGGTGTGATTTGGTGAAGCTGCTTCTGTCGTGGCCGTTCCGGCAGGGGGGGCTGCATGGGGCAGGGGGGCTTCAAGGTGAAGCTGCCCGGGGGGCCGGAGAGATGCAGTGGCTGCCAGGGCAGCGCTGGCTCTGCCCGACACTGCGGCGGTGCGTTGTCTTTTCTAATAAACTCAGTTTTCAAGAAAATACACCAGATTTGGGGGCTCTGAGGCGTGCTGGGAGCCATGGGGGGCTGTGCCTGCCGGGGAGAGCCGGGCCACGGGGTGAAGCAGTTTGGGCAGGAGCTGTATGAGGTGGTGCAAGGCCCCCCTCTTCCCACCGCCGCACCCCACCGCAGACCACAGCAGCCACCACCTTTCCTCTGGAGCCCGTATTTATGGCAGAGCGTGGTTAGCCGGGGAGACGGCGGTGACCGCGGTCACTGGGTGAGAGCTCCCGCCCACCTCAGCGGTTACCGGTGTAGCAGAGCTCAGCAACGCCGTCGGGGATGGCGTGGAAGTACTCCAGGCTGGCGCGGTGTACCTTGCAGCGGTATTTGCCGCAGGTTTTCGCGTACTGCAGGAAGTGGGGCGCCCCGGGGAAGAGGACATTGTCGGCCAGGACGGTGGCCCCCTCGGCCAGCAGCTGGTGGGTCTCCAGCAGCTGCAGGTCCCGCAGATAGCAGCGCTTCCAGTGGTCCATGAAGACGAAGTCAGCCTTCAGCAGGCCATGCTTCTCCCTCAGCCGGGGGATCACCTCCTCCGAGGGGCCCACGATCAGCTCCACCTGTGCTGAAGACCCCTCAGCCCCTGGGCTGGGGTACTGGGGGGGGCTGACCCCGCTGACCACAGCATTCAACCCCTCCCTCACCACCACCACCTCGCTCCGTGGGCTGTCTGGGAGCAAGCGGTGGTGAGGGACCTGCCGGCGAAAGTATCCGGCCTTTCCCATCCCCGCTATCCCACCCAGCAGCGGGTGTGGGACGGGAGAGGGGGCAAGGTGAAGGTGTACCCCCCCCCCCCCCCCGCCCCGGCAGCAGCAGGGGTAAGACCCAGGTTTTCCCCCTCACAGGCATGTCGCTCACCGTCTGCTCGTCGAAGCCGGCCAGGCGGATGACCTTCTCAGCCACAGCGGCGTGCCGGGGGTCCACCTCCACGGTGTAGAGGCGGGCGCCGGGGGGCAGCCCCTGGGCCAGCAGCACCGTGCCGTAGCCGCAGTAGGTGCCCAGCTCCAGCACCCGCCGCGGCGCCCGCTCGTACAGCAGCCGCTCCACGATCCTCCCTGCCGCAGGCCGGACCCCTCAGCACCCTGGGGGGTGCCAGGGGGCTGCACGCACCCCCCCACCCCGTGTCCCCCCTTCTCTGGGCAGGGGGGGAGGGTGCTAACTGGTTCCCCAGCACCGGGAGGGGCAGAGGATATGGCACGGCAGGAGGGAGGTGAATAGCTGTGCCAAAGCTCCCCGTGTCCCTGGCCAGCCCTTCCCAAGATGCCGGCCCCGTGACCCCAACCGCACTGGTGGGGCTGTGGCTGTGCTGGGGGTGCAAAGCTCCGACAGTGGTGCCATGACCGTAGTGGCACTGCCACGGCTGTGCCAATAATGCCATGGCCACATATTGATGGTGCCACAGCCATGTCAATGGTGCCACAGCTGTGCCAATATACTGTGGCCATACTAACGGTGCCATGGCCACACCAGTGGTGCCACAGCTATGCCAATGATGCCACGGCCATACCAACAGTGCCACAGCCATGCTGGTGGTGCCATGGCTATATCAACACTACCACAGCTATGCCGATGGTGCCATGGCCACACCAACAATGCCACAGCCATGCCAACTATGCCACAGGCATGCCAATGGTGCCATGGCCACACCAACAACACCGCAGCCGTGCAGATGGTGCTACAGGCATGCTGATGGTGCCACGGCCATACCAACAGCATCATGGCCACATCTGTGGTGTTGTGGCCATGCCAGTGATGCCACGGCCATGCCAACAGTGCCACAGCCATGCAGATGGTGTTAAGGCCATGCCAACAATGCTGTGGCTGTGCTGATGGTGCCGTGGCTGTGCCAGCAGCGCTGTAGCCATGCTAGTGGTGCCACGGCCATTCCAATGATGCCACAGCTCTGTCAACGATGCCAAGGCTGCACCAACAGTGCCATGGCTGCACTGGTGGTGCCACAGCCATGTCATTGGTGCCATGGCCATGCTAATGGTGCCGTGGCCATGCCCGGTGCTGGGACCGGCGCGGGCAGGTGAGGGTCGCACTTACCTTTGACAGGCCCCACGCTGCTGAGGTGCTCGCAGTGGTAGCACCACTGGTCGAAGGTGTGCAGGACATGCCGGGGGTCCCCGGGGATGGCGTGCGCCAGCAGGTACTGGAAGGCGCGCTGCTCCCGCGGGACGCCGGTGAGCCGGTCCCGCAGCCAGGTCACCAGCGCTGCCCGGTACAGCAGCACCAAGTAGTGCCGGTAGCGGATCAGCAGGGTGACGAGGAAGGGGATGAAGGCCAGGGCGATCGCCGGCGACACCATCGCAGAGGGGCGGTGGCTGTGGAAAGGGCCCCCACAAGGGAGATGCCACGGTGCCAGCCCGTAGCTCCCACTTGTGCCATGAGCTGGCAGTGCTCTGCACCCCCCCGGGAATTGCCTCTCCCAGGGCTCCAGTGCTGCCCAGATGGTTTGCCCGGCCATAGGGCTGTGACCGGAGCCAGGCTGGGGTGCTCTTGGGGGTCCCTGTGCTGGGGCTGAGGGGTGCCAGGGGGTTGGGCTGTGGGGCTGCTCTGGGCGGGGCACTGTCTGGCACAGCCCCTCACACCCCCCTCGGCACAACTTTGCTGTCCCTGCACCCCATATCCTGCACCCCACACCCCGCACCCTGAGCTGTTGGGGGTCCCCAACCGCAGCGAGGGGCCGGGGCTGCGGGGGTGGCACCTACCTGTCCCCACACTTCAGGCAGCGGGTAGGAGGCAGGCAGGGCTGTGTGGCCCCGAGCGGCGCTGAGCTCTGGTGCCCACTCAATTATTGATGGTGTCACCTCAGCCGCAGCCAGAACTGGCTCCGGTTACTGGGCTGAGTGGGGCTGGGGATGGGAATGGGGCCAGGCTGGGGCTGGAGGGTAACCCTGGGGCTGGGGTCCCATCACTGGGGCTGGGGTCCTGACACTGGGGCTGGGGGAATACACACCAGAGCCAGGGGTTGGAGGCTGGATCGGGGGGGCTGGGTTCTGGGCTTGGGGTGGCTGGGTGCAGGGTTTGGGGGGCTGGATGCCATACTGGGGGGGTGGTGCTGGACTGGGGGCCTCAGGGCAGGGCTGCGGTGGTGGGGGCTGTGGGCAGGGCCCCTCGGGGAGCCCCGGCCATTTCCGGGGG